AACACATATGCATAAGCAGTCACTAGCTGTAATCGGCTTAATTACGTAAATAACAGTTTCAACACATACATTGGCAGGCCTGGAATTCATTTCGAGTATTCTGAGAAGTGTAATAAAGCCACTGAAACGTTCTTCCGTAAGTGGTTATAATGTCATACCAGCTAATTAAATTAGACGCCGTGTCCTGACCTCCCTTTTCTATTTGCCGGAACGTATAATATACTGACAACGGTAAACTACATTTGTCATCTCGTACTTTAAAAGAGGCTCTAGACTAGTTGTAAATAACCATATTCCAGAATTCTTTCACTCACCGAACAGGCAACATCTGAAGCCTCTAAAGCCTTGGAGTAAATGAGTTTATCAATCTTAACTTCCATTCAAAAAGAATTTGAAAATATTCTTTATAAGGTAGGTGTCCGACTCCCACTAGATTATTGCTTGATCGTATCCGATTGCATGAGTTTATTAGACCGAAACAGATAGAAGAAAAACAGTTCTACTTTACAAAACTGTGATATTCTGAAGTATTTGAATTGTAGTATAAACTAGTAATCCCAGGAATGACGCAACTTAATCAAGAAGTATTAGATGAGCACGAACGAATGTACTGTGTTTGGAATTCAATATCAAAACAGTCATCAGTACAAAGAAATCATTGGTTCATTCAAACATCACAAAAACCCGAACTTTTTTACACACATTTGAAGCATGGAAGCTTGATCCCTTATGGATTAAACTAATCAACTTTAACCTTGGCTTACTGTTCGAAATTCGACGTAATAGGACTATGGTTCATTGTGTTAGATTAAAAATTGTCAAAGTAGTAGTTATAACATTTGGAATCAGGAATTATCATTGAGGTTATTGAAAAAATTAGGTAAATGAAAGTCAACTTTCTTTTTCACGCCATAGACTAGCCCCTGGAACAGGTTCTTGATAAATATGCCGTCAAATTAAACTCTTACTCAGTTCAGATCTTCCCCGAAATACTTTATGAATCAACTCGGGGTTTCCTACTTGCTCAGTGCAGCTTACCTAAGTCAGGATATACTTAACGATGAACCACGGAACATCTAATCGTGTGAATAAATAACCAATTGGCACCTAGTGGCCATTTCACTAACCACAAATATTTAACGTATTAGCCTATGTAATTCGCATTCTATATTTTGCTGCCCAAGAAAGTGTCTACTGAGTCTTCTGATCCCCTTAACACGATGCTCAACTCTTGATGTTGTTACACATAGTGAGCTTCCAGAACACCCTGCACCACAACTCAATAACCGTTTATGCAACTATGGACTACTCGGGTTGAAAATCAGTAGCATTCGGAAACTGTCCATAAGAACCAGTATCGGTCAAAGCATTGTGAGCCTCTTCACTTTTATTCGCCATCGCACTACAATTCTTATCATATGTGTAACTATCCGACCATTTGTTTTCAAATTCCTAGTCATTGTCTAAAAAGTATTGGATTCCATAATTCTTATGCCTAATGGTTTGTTTCTGTTTACTTATTTTGTTTGAAAACTCATACTCTATCCTATGCTACTATGCAATGCTGTCTCGATATTCCATCAACTCTCTACAAGCTTTGATTGTCCGATATTCTTGTTCCGGATACTTGTAAATTTGTGCGTTTTAGCAAGGTATGGAACATAGGACATGTAGGAAAGATATAAATGCAAGTTAACCGACACCTTAATACAGCCTGATGTCAAAAAAGAAGAAAAAGTGGAGTAAATGACCAGCAAGTGTTTATGGTGAGGGCTATGACTTCAATCGACCCATGTTTGGGGTAGGCAAGACACTTTGGCTGTCTCCTGCTCTTCGTGATTAGTAATGAAACAACCAATCAATTATACAGAGGTTATCTCATCATGTTCGCTGATCCTTCGACTCGTGCTTTCTACCTTGTGTTTGCTCCATCATTTTAAGAAATTGTCCCATTATATGCATTTTGAACGCTTAAGAGCACACCTAACAGTCGGGATTCACTCACAACAATGAAAAGAGCGATAAACAAGCCCACTTATAAACATGTTCGTATATCTGTGTGAGTATCCTATCATATATCTTTTCTGCTTTTATCTGTTGGACAAATCTACCTGATTGGTATATTTTTGCTAAGCTCACTTTGTAAATTATCGATCGTGGCTGTAGAACCGGTATTTAACTGCTTTTCAAGAAAAATATTGTGTACCTTGCATGATCGAATTCGGCTTCAGTGATATTGTATTTATCAGTGAGTGATCCAATGAGCTTTTAGATTTTGGTTGTATGAGTTGGTTTTGACTTATTTGTGAAAGGTGAGGATTTCGCTTTAGATGAGTTTGTAAACCCTGCTACAATTTCCCGGAAATTCGCGGCTTTTAATGACGTAGTGTGTATCAAACCTCGTTTCTATGCAAATTTATATTTTTCAAGGACGTGTGTTTCAAGTATCATCAGGTCTAAGACTGTCGCAGTGAACGAATATGGGAACTGTCTGTTGAGTAATGAATCTAACGTCAAAGTATTCCACTCGAATGTTACTATTTTCGTTTTAATTGCAAAATAAACATTGAACTTTTCTCTGTCGTTGTGGGAAACAGCTTTCGCTTTCATTTTAACTATCATCACTGCATTCCGAACGCTGCTACTCTGGGTGACCGTATTCTCCATTGCTCCTATTTTAATTGACTGATATGACCTGCCCTTGGGGAATAGAAACTTGATTCCTTACTTGTGAAGAAAATCTATGGTCGTGAATAGGTGGTTCATAGAAAAAACAATACTCTTAACCCCACAGAAAGTTTTATTTAACAATACTGTTATTTTTATTTTCTTTCGCACTGTATAGTACTTGTACGTTTACCCGCAACTTCTGCTTCCGTCTTTAGTATTTTGGCAGTCTTCTTCGTCTGGGCACTCGTTATTCGATTTTACTTAAGAATTCGCCCTGCAGATGACAGTTTATTTTTGTATGATGTCATATCATTAACATCATATCACATTTAACTGGATTCAAGTTTACGGAGTCGGACGGTTGATGAATGTTGTCTTGAGACTGAATGCTGGGAACAGCCGCCCGAATCTTTGAAGATGGATTCCGACCCCGTTTTTCTGTTAGCACTCTTATTGATGCTCAGATATATACATCTTTTTTGGTGGCGATTTCTACTGCTCGGTACACTGTTCTATCATAGAAGAAAGTTTGACTGTATAGCTGAAGCCGTAATGCTTGAGGTATTTTATGTTTTGATGTAATTTGTTTTTCATGTGAAATCAGAACCGATCGAATCAAGTACAGAGTTTGTGTTTTGTGATGATTTGATGCAAATGGTTTTAAAAGGCTTTGCGCGTTGTACAGAAGAACGTAGTTCGGTCTAATAGAACAAACACTGATTAGTTAGTTTTCTGTGTCCAGATCAAATATAGGAGATTCCGTCATCAAGATAGTTGTTTTACATAATTGTGGTCTAGTACGGTGTTATTACACTTATCTTTGTTAAAATTTTATTACACCAAGTCTCGAAATTGCAGATTTGTCGTGACGAGACTACCCAATCCATAAAGTTGCACGTGGGAGTCACATCATCGTTTTTTTGACTCGCCATACGTGACAATCAGCGATGTGACGTTAAGCACTTTTGAAGAGCACATTTGAACTGGGGATAGAATAATATGCCTTAATATGAATAGGGATTTATCACAAGGATGACCACACACATACCATACTGATCAATTCTTCCTGCGTTCACCATTAATGACCTTCTCTCACTGTTACATGTTAAAAGTAAATCTTCTCAGCAATTATATGTTCAGCTTCAAAGATTTTGTGGTTAGGGACCGATATCACTACAGTTGCATTTCTTAAACGACGATTATCAAGAAGTTTGGACGCTCACACGTCCGAACATATCCCTTGTAAACAACACATCTGAACTGCGATTGTACTTTTGCTTTGAAGAACGTAGTGAACACATTAAGTTTTTAATGCCAATGATCCTTTCAGGCATCTGATCATAACCGAACATGAAGGTTGATTTGTCGTTTGTCTATACTCATCAGCTACTGATCTCTACCATCTAACGTTTAACTAAATGGTGTATTTACGTATCTTAGATGGAACTACATTGAATGTCTACAACCAAATAGTTCCTAATTTAGTTGACAAGTTCTCATGCTCGGGGAGATATCACGGAAACAAGGGTTTGTAATGCTACCGTTCAAATCCTCTTCTCATACAAGGACACCAAAGCCAATCGAAGTCGAGAATGCAAGGCTACCAGGGTATGTTTGAATGGCGAAATCTATGTTGGATAGTCGTCGTAAGTTGAATGACCGAGTGCCCTCAGCTAGAGGTGTGTCTAGTAAAAATAATGAGGTGAAAGTCAAAATCGAAGACTGATAATGCCATTTATTTAAGGGATTCATCCATCTTTAGACACCTTCAGTACAATTTACTGGTTACCGTTGGCATGTCGAAAAATTCAATTATTGTTCAATGCCCTGTCAATAAACTAACAGATTCACAGGATGATGTTTTCCTGCTTTATGTCCAAGTTACTCACGGTTCTGTTGCTTGGTATTGATTGTTCCAAGATGACTATTTTCAAATGCCTAGGAAGTCACATAAACGTTTCAATGCCTCTTCATATGTAGATTCACTGGACGGAAGTTCAGTTTATTTTGTGTGTGACTCATATTCTAGTTATCAAACGACGTCACAAGTCAATTTTCCGCAGATTGCGGAAAACACTTTGAAGACAAATGCAGTGTTATTTCTTCTATGGAAGTATCCATTGAAATGTGTGCTCAAAGGGAACAGAATATACGTCCATGAATTTATAGCCCATCTGATTTTCATTGGGCAATAGTGTGCAACATCTATGGTTTTTCCTCTCATTTGATATGCGAGTTTTGATTGTAAAAACATACTTCTCAAAGTGGATTTCATTTCAACATATAAATCTAGCTTTATTCGCTTATTTAATCTGCAAACTTGGGATGAGCTGCAGTTCCTATTCGTAGAGAATTTATATGCAGATAACTTTAGAAGATTACAAGAGTCTCTAATGTAAATCAAATTTTTACATTCAGTGTTGGCTCACTGAACGAATAGAAGAGTACTCGAAAATGTTTGATATTTCACTTTTGTTGACTATTGAAAATTGTTGCTTTAACTGCCAGAGTATGGTCGCTTGTTTATTTGTTTTATTAGACAGAAATCAGACGTTCCATATATTGACTTACAAATTGTATTCGGTTCTAAGTCATATTCAGGTTTCATCTGTTTGACTGTTTTGCTTTCACGCTTGTGTTGTCGATAATTGCTATCGATTGCTCTTCTTAATAAAAGTAAGTACATTATGTGCTCTTGCTGAGTTATCGCCTGGTCTTTGCCCTAGTTTTTTCCCCAGCTTCCCTCACGTTGCTCAACTAGGCCTGGTACTCCTAGTACCCTCAGATTAGACATCAACTGCTACACCGGTTTTTGTTTTTTTCCGAGCAATTCATATTGTCAGTAATGCAAGGAAAATAAAGTCACGAAATGCTGCGCAAGACATTACAAGTGTTTTTTCTTGTAGTACTCGGTGACTTGCTGTGTCAAGCACTTTATTTCATACATTTATCGATTTTTGGATAGCGATAGTACAGTCTATGGACAGGCTTAGATAAACACTTTCCGTTTCAGTCAAATGCAACTCACTGCTGACTAGCACTAGGAGCATACATGTTGGTTCTCAGCCATCCGAATAAGTCTCGAAAGTAAAATCGAAATGACAGTTAACTTTGCCAGGTGCGGGTAGTTCTTAAAAAAATCCTAACAATAGTCTTACTTCAACGTCCACTACACTTAGATAAATGTTGTGATTTGTAAGTTCGAGTCATAACAATTTATAATTAGTAGAAACCTACCTTGTGTGTTCACTTATGGGAATGACACGACGACTTTTTGCACAGCCAACATAGAGTATTTGGGAAGCTATCCCAAAGACTTGATATGAACAATTCCTGGATACCTTTACCTCAACAGTTACCAAGATGCCTCATTATTTTTAGAGACAAATTTTATTAACCCATAATTGTGAAGCTTCAGACAAGCATTTTTGCAATCACATCTGGTTAACTCGGGTCTAAGAATCAGTTTGTCCCCAACCTTTGCCTCATTCAGGACCTGAGATCCTGATATACGTACGTGATCATGGCATCACTGCATGAGTGTGTGTACCAACTCAGTCGTACGTAGTTCTTTTGGAGTCGGGAATTACATGGTATTCTTATTAGGCAATTATAGTTCAAAGGATTCGTTAAGGACAAATCTACTTTAGAATTGTTCGTAGTATGCCACTGAAGTGTCGAGTCCTTGTGTTTGTGGTGAGTTACCGGTATAATTAGTCATGGTTATTAGTACAACAATGCAGTGCAACTATTGCTGTACAGTTTAAAAATCTAGCCACTCCTAGTTGGTGTAGAGCCACGTAACACATTGTCCATTTTTTCAAACTGCTCTATGGACGTGACGGATAAGAGATCTACCTTCTCTTACATTCGACTTTGAGCAGACTAAACATCTCTTATCACACCTTTTTTTCACTTACGTCATGGCCAGGGCTCCTCTGCATCGGTCAGTTCAGTCAGGCTTATATAACTATCCTGTTTAGATGGGAGTAGTTTAAGTTTAGCCATTTCGGGCTTTTGTGTCATTTTAGTAACAAAACACCAACTTTGACCCTTGAAGTTACTGTTTTATTTATTTATTTATTTAAACACATATATATTGGTACAAAAGGGCACCAGGTACATATGCGCCACACAAAATAATGAAAGTAGGAAGAGAAGGGATGAAAAGATAAGGCGGACTAAAATGTACAACCAGAAGACTCTTTCAAATAGGAAAGTAAGAACCATACTTTATGTAGAAAGTAAAAGAAGGTTGCAGCAGGATCACCACTGGTTTCTATTCTGAGCCATATCTGATAACGTCTCTAGCCACTGTGTTGCACCATCTCTCGGACCCCAGCCAGGGAGTCGTGAAGGACCAACAGAAGCTAGCCCTTTGCAGCTCTCTTTCATGCCACGACACCATGTCATACACTGACCTCCTCTCCGCTTTTTCCAACCAGTCCCAGGGTCGGCAAATAATGCACGACGTGGAAGTCTCTGGGACGACATTCGTAAAACATGTCCAAGCCACCGAAGTCGGTGTTTCAAGATGGTGACACCAATTGAATTATCGTCTCTGTGCCCGAACACACGATGCCGAACCTCTGCATTACTAACATGGTGTTGCCACTGGATGTCAGCAATCCTTCGGAGACAACGATGATCGAACACAGAGAGACGTCTAACATCCTCAACTCGGAGAGGCCAGGTTTCACAAGCATAGAGCAAAACTGCTCTCACCGACGCGTTGTAAATCCGACTTTTTACAGCCAGACTAACATCACGAAGGCGCCAAAGATGGCCCAGATTGGCATAAGCCGATCTGGCTTTCCTTATACGTGCATCAATCTCATCACTCACGCCACCACCAGCACTTATATAGCTACCTAGATACACGAACTTCTCAACTACTTCGATCTGCTCACCATCCAGGGTGAGTACAGGATTAGAATCCTGCCAGTCTTGTAGAAGTACTTTGCACTTGGAGGGTGCAAAGCACATGCCGTACCTGCGGACACTGATTGCCAACTGATTAAGTGCTGATTGCATGCCTTGGGCATTATCGCACAGTAAGACAATATCATCCGCATACTCAAGGTCGAGAAGTCGTTCTCCAGGCAACATATCCACACCGCCATTACTTACATCCATCAGAGCTGTTTCCAAGATGTCGTCGATGGCAAAGTTGAAGAGGAATGGTGAGATCGGGCAACCCTGCCTAACCCCACTGCTGGAATGGAACAAGGGAGAAAGGTGGTTGTATGCTCTCACTCTGCCTGAGGTGTTCGTGTACAGGGCCTTTAAGATGTTAATGAACTTCTCAGGCACACCCTTCTTCAATAGACAATCCCAGAGAACAGTCCTGTCCAACGAATCGAAGGCCGCCCTGATATCAAGAAACACTACGATTGTTGGCCTGCGATAAGTATGACGGTGTTCTAACATTTGGCGGAGGGTGAAGATGTGATCAATGCATCCTCGACCAGAACGAAAACCAGCCTGCTCCTCGCGAGTCAATCGTTCTCGGGTTTTAAACAACCTACGAAGAATGATAGAAGCCAATAGTTTGGACGCAATCGGAAGTAGACTTATCCCCCGATAGTTATTGCAGGAACAACGCGAACCCTTTTTAAAGATAGGGACGACTATTGACTCATTCCATGATGTTGGAACACTTTCTTGCTCCCAAACCTTTGCAAACATCACAGTCAATTCCTTAGTCAGAAAGTCGCCACCATCTTTAAAAAGAGCCGGAGGTAAGTCATCTGGGCCAGGTGATTTGTAGCGCTTCAAGAGTTGGAGTTCCTTGCGGACTTCCGCCTCGTTTGGTGGATCAGTCGTCACCGGCCATGGGGGGCAGGACAAGCTGGTTGATGTTGCCGGAGCAGCAGGCCAGTTGAACTGCCCTTCGAAAAATTCCGCCCATCGTCCAAGACGTCGGGAGATGTTAGTGATTGGCATCCCATCATCCTCGTAGATTGTTTCACTCACACCAGACTTCTTGCTGCCAGTGGCTCGGATGAGTTGGAAGAGCTTCCGGCAGTTACCAGATGCAGCTGCTGCTTCCATCTCATTAGCACGCTCCGACCACCAGGCTTCCCGGTCCTTACGCAAGCTTTGCCCAATTTCATTACGTAACAGCCTTCGTTTGTGGTCAAACTCACGGTCACCCGGAGTAGACCGACGGGCTTCCATCAGTTGTAAGGAGCCAGAAGTAACCCAGTGCTTGTAAGTGGGACGTTTCGCGAAGCCGCAAGCGGCTTTACTCGCCATTTTCATGGCGTCGTGAAGATGCAACCAATGCTCATCTATACTTTTCGATGGGGTGTTAGCTAGCCTAGAGGCTAGCTCCGCTCGGTACTTGCAACAGGAGTTGCAGCCAGTTTACTAATATCAATCCGTTGGTGGTGGTCAATCCTTCGGCCACTGAAAAGTAAGGTGAGATTGGCGCAGACCAGGGCATGATCAGACTCCAGATAGGTACTCCAAAAGGAGCGGCAGTCTTGTACACAACCACGCCAGCGGTAGCTGATCGCGATGTGATCAATCTGAGTCCAGGCTTGGGATGCAGAGGGAGGACGCCAGGTGGCACACCGGCGATGACTGTGCCGGAAGTTAGTGCTGGCCAGAAACAGGTTGTGGTCTGTGCACAGTTGCAGCAAACGGTCCCCGTTATCTGTCCTGCGACCAACAAGTCCCCATCGGCCACCTAGACGACTCTCTTCTGTGCCTAGACGCCCGACCTGTGCATTCAAGTCTCCGGCTAGTACTACAATATCTGTCGAACGCGCCTTCTGGAGAAGAACTGTTAACTGATGGTAAAACTCATCCTTGATTGCATCCGGGCTGCAATCTGTCGGGGCATAGGCGGAGATGACGAAAAGACACCGTTTCTCACGCCGGTTTCTTCTCACTTTGATGGAACTTTCTAATCTAACAGCACATAACCGACTGTTAATGGGGAACCAATCGATTAGTGCTGCCTCAGCCCTAGCGCTTAGTGCGACACCAACGCCAGCAAGACCAGACGAAGATGCCACAGGGTCCCCGGATAAGCGCACGTGGAACAAGCTTTTCGAGGCGACAGATGGAGAGCGGATTTGTAGTACTTCACTAGAGTCTTGAATACGGGTCTCGGATAGACAGCAAACATCAACATTAAGACCTTCCAAAGACATAGCCAGCCCTATCTGTTGTCTGATCTGCATTAGTGTGCGAACGTTGAAGGAAGCCAGCTTGAACGGCGTACGCGGTTTCAGAAAGACTGCCTCAGTATTCATTATCGGTGGAAGCATTCACTTTCAACCAGACAGTGACTGGAGATCGTTTAGATAGGACAGATTTTCCACCAAGAGCGAGCTGATGCATAAGTTGAAGAGTAAGGTTACACAAATTGGGGGTAAAAGGGGGTGAATTAGCGATATGGTAAGTAATAATAATAATAATAGTAATAATAATAATAACGTAAATTGTCTTGCTTATAATATGAGCAGGAATAGAATCGTCAATAGAGTTCGTCATTTCATTCATTTGTGTGTGGGCTGTGATACTGCCCAGGTGCCCAAACCGAAGCAGGTGGTTTTCTTAGGGGGCCACACCCGGAGCCTTTGACCTAAAGGTCTGATCCACAAGGCAGTGGAGCATCGTGAGGAGATGCAGTCCCATGGTAGTCGTTGACCAATGACAGGTTCTTCCGCCATTCGTTCCATCAGGAAACTGGAGCCCATGTGCACCATTGGTTTGGAATCAGGGTTTTCCAACTCCCCTAGGTGGACCCTCCGTGTCCACCAACCTGGTTAAAGCGCCGGACATTCGCTCTTCGTCCTCTCACTTTCGTAAACAACACCCCCGCCACGAGAAGGCAGTGAGTAGGACTTCCCTGGCAGAGGCTATATATTCGCTGGCCATATGAGAGCATTTCGAGAGGGAGAGTAGACTCTCCCCACTCTCGGCCGTACCAGGGCATTTGGGGGCAAGTTACTGTTTTAAAGGAAATGATCTGGTGTGTGCGATTGCATTTTTTTCGATTTTGATAATCTATTCACTACCATTTTCGTAAGCCCGACAATGATAGTTTTTCTTAACTTAAAGGCAGCATTCGACTCTGCAGACCGAGATGTTCTGTGGCAGTGTCTGTCATTGAAAGGTGTACCTCAGAAGTACATAAACCTTGTGGAGGCTCTACTCGAACACTACCAGTCGAGTGAGAGCTTATGGCGAACTGTTATAAGATTTTACAACAAGTGGTGTCTGACAAGGCTGTCCACTATCCTCATTCTTGTTTAACTTCATTATAGACCTATTGCTAGAAATAACACTCTCGTCGACTGAATTTTCAGGAATTGATCTTCTACCAGGAGGTTCACTTATCGACTCAGAATACGCAGATGATATAGTCCTGTTTGGTGAAGACGCTGACAAAATGCAGTCTTGTTAGAACTGAGTAATAATGCCAGGACGTTTGGGATGCGTTTCTCCCCCTCTGACTGTATATTGTTACTCCAGGACTGGCCTGCGTCAACACCTGAACTAAGGATAGGGAGTGAAGTAGTCGAACGCGTCGACAACTTCACTTATCTTGGAAGTGTGATCAGCCCTAATGGGTTGGTGTCTGACGAAATCTGTGCACGGATTCAAAAAGCTCGTTTAGCTTTTGCCAAATTACGTCACCTATGGCGAAGGCGAGATATCCGTCTATCAATTAAGGGACGAGTATACGGCGCAGCAGTTCGTTCTGTTCCACTTTACGGCTGTGAAACATGGCCATTAAGAGTAGAAGATACTCGTAAGTTACTAGTATTTGACCACAGATGCCTTAGAAATATTGCCCGCATCTGCTGGTATCACTGGGTAAGTAATAGTGAGGTTAGACACGGTATTATGGAATGATAAATCAGTTGAAGTCATGAATCTTCATCGACTGAGATGGTTGAGCCACATGTTACGTAAGCCTTAACACCGATTACCACGACGCGCTATGCTGACTAGTATTGGGGATGGAAGTAAGTGTTGGGGGCGACCAAACCAAAACATGGTATCTGGTACCATATCTGACTGAAGTACCTTAGCTGGTATGCTGTCTAGTCCAACTATTGCTATGGCATTCCTAAATTGTCTGATGGCTCCGCTAATTCCTTTGATAGTTGGTGGGGTACTATCTACAGGGAGGTCTTTGTGTGCTGCCTCGATGTTAGCTGTGCTCAGTAATGTCGATCAATTTGAAAGATCTTCAAAGTACTCTACCCACCTGTCCCACTGCCGTTAACCCTCATTAATTGGTTTTCCTTCTCCGTTCTTGACCGGTCACTCTGGTCCACTACGTTTTCTTGTAAGCTTCTTGGTTGTAGTATCACATAGTTCCTCCACATTTCCTTCTCTTGTAGCTCTCTCTGCTGTGGTTGTCAGACCTCCAACATGCTTCCGCTAATCAGCTCTAATGCACTTTGACTTGTGTGTTTGCTTCTGTGTACTCGGCACAGGCCGAGTACATTCTTTATACTGATGCTTCTTGTGGGTCAACATCTTCTGAGATGTTGAAGTTATTGCTTCTCGAATCACTTTCCAGTTGTTGCTTATGGCGGTTCCCGACGTTTCTTCTGGTAGGTCTTGAAAGGATTAAAGCTTGTCGATGATAGCTACTATGCTGATATCCCGCTGAACTTGTTTACATCTCAAATGAAGGCTATACTAGACATTTGTAGTATTCCTTATGTAACTGCACAATGCTTCTTTCGATTTGGTACAACCAGGTGGTGATCTAAAACTACATCAATTCCACTCTTTGTTCTTACTTCTTCCATGGATCTCGTGGGTATTTTATTGAGGAAAGTGTGGTCGATCTGGTTTTTCATGGTGTGGTTCGGTGAGACCGAGTTAGCTTTAGGTATGCATCTGTAGGGGAAAATTTCGCCCCCTATGACTGTTGAAAATATTCAGATCTATCGGTCTTATGTCATACATTCCTTCCTCCTAGTCGATTTCGTTTCATAATCCGTTCGTATCTGGTGTTGTTCACTCCGACTTTGGTGTTTGGGTCCACCATCAGGATGGTCATGTGTTTTCCTGGACCTTTCCATACAATGGACTGCAGCCTCTCATGGAAATGGTGTTTATCATGTTCGCTGCTATCGTTGGTGGTGCATAGGACAGGATCACATTCATTGTAATCCTTCCCTTTGTTTCGTAAAATGCTTTGATGGTCTCAAAACTGAGTCTCCCATCCTAGATTTGTTCATTCTATTCTTCTCTTGATAGGATTGGTAGAATTCCTTGTGTTTGTGTGTGTGGGAGGGCACTTTATTCTTTATGACTAGACTTCGGTGACAGTTCTCCTCATGTTAGTGTTTTTTTGTCCAGATTGAATACAATGAGTTGCTCCTATTCCAATCCCGGTCAGGTTATTTTTGTCCATTTCCGTGTCTTTTGGAATAGTACTCCTGATCTCCCATATTGTTTGGATATTCCGCGTACCCATGTTTATCATCATCCTGTTTGCCGGAAGGAGTATTAGCCTCGTGACTTCTGAAGAATCTCAGCTTTCACCGTGAGGCATCATAAATGATGTATATGAAGACTCTTTAACTCTGATGCTAGAGTTTAGGTGAGTTCTTCCAGTTAGTGTTTTTATAGTAGTTTTGTTTCTTAGGAATTGGAGGTGGTGACTACTGACAGTAGCGCAGGAATGTTTCTAATCTGAGTTCATGTCATATTTCTATTACATAATTGAGTTTGCGTTTGCTTTTCAACTCTGTTTACGCCATGGTACATTGTGTGATAATCGGTACTAGTGCCTGGTTGTACCAGTCGTGAACTCGTTCTTGAACTGTAAGTAGCAGTTAAGTGTGGTCATCTAACATAAAACCAATGCTATAATTAGTGTAATGTTCAATGTCATTGCTCTGTTACTATTTCTGCCACTCTTATAGAAGTCAGGCACATAAAGTTACGTACAATATCTTCCACACTTGTACTATATACAGCACACAGTCATGAATGTTTCCACATGTTTAGTTGAAAAAGCAAATTTGTTTATTCGCTTTGGTTTCCATATATTCTTTACTTTTGGCAACAATTATTCATGTTAGAAACGTGTACGTAAGTGTTGATATCATTTCACTCTAACTATAAGCTGAGTATGAAATAAACCATAATGGGTGCACTAAATTTCTAAGTTGAAACATCGTTCCAGTGTTTAAAGTATTCTATTTTGATCCAATGAATTTTAGGCTTTAACAGTTACAAGTACTTCGGTTTGGCCTAAACAGCATACAATTTCTAATCAACAGGGGAAAATTTGTAAACCCGTTCCATCTACTTTGCTTTGAGCATTTAGGTGGTATCGCCAATTCTCACCTAGACACTCCTCTGAAGCCACACACTTAACGAACAAGTTGCTTCGATTTGATGCCCCCAAATGCCCTGGTACGGCCGAGAGTGGGGCGAGTCCGCTCTCCCTCTCGAAATGCTCTCACATGACCACGCGTATATAGCCTCTGCCAAGGAAGTTCTACTCACTGCCTTCTCGTGGCGGGAGTGTTGTGTACGAAACCGAGAGGACGAAAAGCAAATGTCCGGCTCTGTACCCGGGTTGGTGGACACGGAATGTCTACCTAGGGGAGTTGGGAAACCCTGATTGCAAACCAATGTGCACATGGGCTCCAGTATCCTGAGGGAGCAAATGGCGTATGGACCAATAGTTGGTGACCGGCTACCATGGGACTGCATCTCCTTACGGTGCTTCACTGCCTTGTGGGTCAGATCTTTAGGTCAATGGCTCCGGATATGGCCCCCTAAAAAACCACCTGTTTCGGTTTGGGCACCTGGGCAGTATCACACCCATCACACAAATCAAATACGATTTGTGTGGAGCATATGTATCTGGTGCTTCCTTGTACAAATATTTATGTTTAAATAAAAAATAAAAATCTTCGATTTGATCAAAATCCACACAGAACTTTTGTATTTAGATAGTAAGTTACATTCAGTTTCCTTCCAAAGTTCCCTATTGTTGTGTAATTTGATATTATTTCCCATAAAACTAGAGCTCTATCTATTATATAGAGTAACTTACTATCGTTTTTCGGTTTCAGCTTTAAGATATGCCACTTCCTAAACATACAGTTCAACCAGTCAAACTCAGTCAGGTAGTTGTTCCGAATGGCATCGACAATGAGTTAGAATTTGTGGTTAATTCCACGGTCTGCAATGTCATGAGACAGATAGCGTCAGTTAGCCGATTGGCCAATACCATGTTCGAAGAACTCACTACCGATTTTTCTCGACTAGTTGAGCGGACTATTCGTCTGCAAAATCGTCTGGGTAAACTTCATGAAGATATGCAAATGGCACGCAGCGGAGACGAAGACCTTACTGCTGGGGTACAAGAAGTTGAGATTCCGGTGTTCTCTAGCAAAAAGCCAACCGATAGCCAGGTAAATCGTTCTACGTTTTCATTTTAGTTAGGTATTAAATCAAAATACCATACCTCCTTCTATGCGGTCACAATATGATCAAGCAGAAGCAGCTCCAGCACTTCAACAAATGGATGAACTCAGAGATGATAAGAAAACTAGCATGAGGTTGTATTCAGATCCCAGCTTTTTCTTTGATTTATGGAGTCAGGAAATGTTACAAGACCGCAAGCACAAAAGAGCCGCCAAGAAAAAAGTAATTTCTTATATCTTCTATTTGCAACACATATTTGTAGCTGCATTCATTGTTGTTTTATCTATGTCATCTAAGCATTTATAAATGATTTCCTTTAAATTACAAAGTTATTAGTGCCTACCTGATGTTCTTTTCATGGTTTCGATAATAAATGTGCTCTTGTTTTGTGATTACGTAGATTTTGTAGTTGAAGTATATATCCGTGTCAGTTCTTAAATCATCTGGTGACTTTTTTGAAAATTAGTACTAAACCGGAAAATCAAGTTTTGGAGTGATACAATTAGAATCATATGTTTTGTTCCTAAATTCTTCCATGTTATGGTGTTAGTGAATTCTACAGTTTCGTTTAATGCCTTTAATCACGTCGCTACAACTAAACTTTTTGATCAAGTTTTGTCTTTATATCCAACTACATATTCGTTTCTTGAATTGTAGGATTCTTATTTAGTTGTATTCTCTTTTTTGCTTTTCTTTCAGTAAGTAAAAATCGATCACCCCACTCTTCTGTCTCACATTTTTTTTGAACCCATATCCTTGTTATAAGGTTGCGTTCCCCTCCAACCTTTGTCTTGCCCCAGTTCTCTCGATCTTAATGTCACCAAAAGTTTTCTACAAACAAATTTTACAAGTAGCACTGAGATTGATCCACAGCATATTTTTCCTTACTGATTGATACACAACCGTTTGTATTCATAAAGAAGTAATGGTGTTTTGTTAGGATTCTCGAAGCAGTTTTAAAGGTGATCACACTAAATTCCTTGACCCACTCTTTCTTGCAGTCACTTAAAAATGTATGTTTGCATAGTCAGGAAACCATTTATCACAATCAGCTTACAGCAATATGATTCATTCAAATTCACAAGCCTGCATTTGTGTTGCATTCATTTACGATCATATTTTTTTCTGTGTGTCTGCGATTAGGTAAAAATGGGGAACTGTAAGAAAGTAAATCCATCCATGACTATAATCCTTTTATTCCAGTTTTAATAGTATTTTATACATCAAATATCCTAATCTTTGAAGCATGTGACCTGTTTTGGGTAAAATATTTATTTTAGAGACCGAAAATAAAGGGAAAAACTGCTCCCGTTAAAAGTGGATCTAATCAGGGAGTTCAGAAACCTCAACTTATCATTCAGCAACCAGGAGTTGGTGGCCATAAACTTCCCGCACCGTTATCCGAGCAAAACGGTTCTGTTAATACCAGTTCTCATATGGATAGAAATATCAGTATTGTCAACGGTAAACCCACCCAACATCAGTTTGTGAATAATGGGGATTTTGGAAATCCTTCATTACCACCCCCGCCACCTCCACCGAATGCTCTTCATCCGTCAACACAAGTTGATAATGCAAAGGATTTTCGACATGCATCTAATCAAAAAAGTGATTATTGCCCAATTAAACCTGACCTTGATGGTGTCAATCCGTTTCCTTCAGTTACCAACAACATTTGTACCAACCATGACCCTTCACCAGCCCATCAGATGACTCTTCCTGATCCTCCCGCACTCCATACACAAATGGCATCTCTTATTTTACCACCACCACTTCCTCCAGCTTTCTTGAGCGACGGAGAGTCAAAAGTTCCAGGTTGGTTTAAACCTCAATCTGATGCATCGTTTGGATTTTGCGTAATAAAGTTTCAATTTGGTGTATTTAGTATCCGTCTATTACGTATACAATTGAGTTCGTTCATCCTCTATATCTTTAGCCTAGTACCATTCCATAATTTTCACCTCAGTTGCGTTTTTCAAACTATTTTTCTACAGTATGTATTATTATTCCTTCTCTTAGCTTTTAATTGTGCTTATTTCTTTATTTCATGACCCCTAAAAACCAGTGTAGTAATAAGTCAAATCGCATTGGAAGATGCACTAGTGTGGTGGGTATTCTATGTTCACAGGGTTTATGTTTGCTCTGGCATTCGTTCTGAAGAGAAAAGATTCGCAAACGTCAGCACTACTGGACTTCTAACCTTGCTCCACAGATTTTTGAATTTGTTGGCATGGTTTTCAAGAGGAGCTGTTAAAGTTTTTTGACAAGATTCAAGAATGTATCTTCATGGTCATTGATTAATGACACCGAGATTTCCATTTGGTACGCTTTCCGTTTGATTATTTCTTATCATAGTGCTGATGTTTTGTGGCATGGACTAGTACACAATTATCCCGGATCTTTAATTACTCTTAAATATATCTATATACAAAACTTCATTAATTTGACCACTCATTTGAACGATTTCATCTTTAATGTGTGGTTGGTTTGTGGCTTGAATTTTTTTGTGATTTTATGCAGCGCGTCATGTTGATACGTCTTCGTGGATTCTGTTTTTATTTGTTTGCGTATGCCTGATTTGTTCATCTTTCTAGATATTGTGTTTACGTTTGTGTTGCGCTTTTTTTTGTTAATTTGGATGTTTGTAGTTTTTATTCAACTTTGTAGACATTAACAAAAATTCACATCCGAATGATGAAGCTGCTCGCAGAGACCCTTCTGGACAAGATGGAAATGGTAGGATATCATCACCCACACAAATGCATGATAGCAAAGAGAAACAGTTCCAGTATATTAATTCTGTAGGTATGGAATCGGTAAGTTACTTGACTTCCTTGTAGCTGTTTCTTCTATTAGCTTAAAGCTAATTAAAATGCTGCAGTCATTTTTCACTACCATTAGAGATAATGCATGTTTTACTCGCATTAGTTAGTTTAATTAGCCCCCCCCACATATATTAATAGCTATTTAACGTGAATGGACGATGAATCCATCATTAAATTCCTGTTTTGTTTTCGTGTATGATGACTGTAATACTGGCTTTGCTTTTACTATATTGCAAGTGTTTATGGAGTAATATAATCGTAAAGTACTTAATAAATAGATTAAACCTGTAATCAATTGATTTGAATTTTTAAGTTTATCTATATATATTAAAAGCTAAACCTTTTTTAGCTCTATAAATTTTCCTAGTCTGTTGCTAACTTGGCATTGTTTATACTTCGAATAATTCTCCCACTTTTTGCATCCACGTTTCAGTCATCGTCGGCTTTACATAATCTCCCTCCGCCTCCTCCCGCGCCGATTTTTGAGGCGAAAAACTTCAATGAGCCTTGTAAACCCAACAGACAGCATAGTGAGTTGGATACTTGTAATCATAAGTCCACTTCTTCGACCCTGCCTCCCTCAGTTACACCTTTTGTGGCTTCGTCACCAACATCTATTCTATGCTCATCTACACAACCTCCACCACCCCCACCTCCACCTCCCTTTACACCAACCCAGAAAGTTGGGTCTGAAAGTCCAAACAATCAAGCAACCTTACCAACTAAGAACAATATCCCACGATGCAATGTACCTCAGTTTCCTCCTGCAGATTTGCTTTCTGCTATACGCGCTGGCTGTCAGTTACGCAAAGTAGGTGAACGAAATCTTCCCGACCAATCGAAATTTAGCCGTGCAAATAGTTTATCGACTCTGGTAAACAAACCTAAGGATGTTCAAGTAAGTCTTACGGATTTTAATTTTCTTAAACTTCGCTTGTGTGTATCTACTTTTAAATGTACTACATCTCATCCTCAAGGGAAGTGTTACATTTCAATAGCCAAGGTGACTATTGCCTCTTGCTCATTCAAATTGCAAAGGTTTTCTTTTAAAACCTAATTGCTTTGTAAACACAGTGGTTGTATTGATCAGCTTTGTATAGAATCACAGATAAATAGTTCTTCATCGTAATAATCTCGATTATGTAGTTATGTAGTCTCCTCAACCCTGTTACTACAAAAATGTACTTGTAGAGTGTCATGAAATAACGTACTAAAAGAAAACGAATCAGTGATGCTTAGGATCCTTCCAGATGGAAGCACAAACTGAAAGTAACGGTGTCCAATTTTGGCACGGAAATGAGAAATTCAAATTTTTACGGTTGAATTGCGAAAATAAGTTTGCCAAGTGGTTTCTGGTGATCTATCTTCCTGTTGGAAATGCTAGGTCCCCAGAACTCACTTAGTAAACGTCCTACTTTCGTAATTTTATTATTGAAAATAGGATTTCTTGTTTTCGTGCCGAAAGCGTCCATTTTTACCTTCAGATTGTATTTCCCACTTGAAAGGACCCCAAATGTCATTGGTTCGTTGTCCCTTCTAATATGCTATTATGTGATGTTTCCCAACGAAATTTTAATGTTGTATAGATACACTTGAGTTGTGTGGTTGTTGTTCGTGCTTGTGACCATCTGTGAAATATACCCTTTCCCTCATCAGAACCTGAACTTCCTTCTTTATTTAGGGGGTTTGGGATGCATCGGAATAGTTAGCTTATCTTGTCATTGTGTCACTGATCCTTCGTTCTGTTCGCCGATCTTAGGTGATCTTGTAATCTCTTCAAACGTTTATTTGTTTGAACACAAACATTGGTACAAGGGGGCACCAAATACATATGCGCCACACAATAACAATGAGGTCAGTAGCAGTCACCATTGATTTGTCTGAGGGTCTGTAATGCTGCCCAGGTGTCCGAACCGAAGCAGATGGTTTTCTTAGTGGGCCACTTCCCAAGCCGTGGACCTTAAGGTCTAATCCACAAAGCAGTGGAGGAATTTTAGAAGATGCAGTCCCATGGTAGCCGGTGACTAACAATAGGTTCATACACCATTTACTCTCTCAGGATCCTGGAGCCCATGTGTACCATTGGTTTGAAATCAGGGTTTTTCAATTCCCCTAGGTGGACCCTCCGCGTCCATCAACCCGTTTAAAGCACCGGACCATTTGATTTCCGTCCTCTCAATTTCGTAAATAGCACCCCAGCTGCACACACCCAAGAGTTCCATTGCTTTTTCTCTCTGTAAGTAGTTACAATTTCTGGTCAAGTCGCTATAGTATTTTCTTGTGGTAGCCTCTTCCGGAACTAATTAGTACATAGCTGTTATGCCACGTCATGTTATCTTGTATTTATTCTGTTTAACTACTTTAAGTATTTCCTTATTTTGCATGTTTTCATCTCCAGGCGATTTATGAAGCTGTTAGGCGTCGTCGGGAATGTATGGAAAATAATTCCTCGGACGATGACGATGATGACAAAGATGCAGATAGTAATTCCTCCGGTTGGGAGGACTAGCTCTTATCCAGCGTACCGAAATATGTATTAGGCCATGTATCAGTCTCATTTTTATCTTTTTCCAGTAACACGTTTATTTTTCAACACAATGCCCATCTTTGTATATTTACCATCTCTACTTATGTCTTTCTATAACTTCTGGTTTTGCTTTGTTCATGTTCTCATCCTTTTCTTCTATTATTATTTATTAGCTGTACATAAATGTACGATCCCGTTCACATTGGTATATACTTATGTCTTCATTACCTTGTGATTTTTTCTCTAATTACTTTGCTTCAATAATTTGAGGTAAGTTAAATTTTGACAGACCATAATTAAATTTTTGTGTTTTTCTGATAATCTAGAAGTTCTATTATGAAGTCCACCTCAATAGATTGGTACGCATTGATTTCGCAAATTGTAAAACTCCTGAGATCTTGTTTTGTTAACGATTAGAGACGGTATGATATGTGAAAATCCTTTTCTTCTGTTCTAGAAGTGTTACTATGATTGCTCGAATCTCATTAAAAAACAGATCAGTTATGATCTTATACGTAACTGAAAGTCATTATTGATTTAACAATACTTCTCATTAATAATTTGTGTCCAATGACATATTGATTGTCTTATTATATATACAGTTTCAGGGCTGACTTCATTGCATTAATTTCCTAACCATTTTGAGACGAAAATCAAGTTCATTTTTATGTATCTGGTTATTATTATTTCCCTTTTAATTAGTAGTTTTCCTTTCTGCTGTTCTTTGTCTCTTTATTGAACAACTACTTCCATTTATTTTTTATGCTCCGGTGATTGCGACCGATGTGAACAAAATACCCTCGTTTAACTAAAGCATTATATGCATACTTTTGTTTATTTCAGTTGCTTTAATGCTTTTCAACGCATAAAAGTATGGATGTCACTAATCCCTAAAAATCTTGTTAACATTCACTCTTCAGAATTTTACCACTTTTAAGCAAGGTTTATGGTCCGTAATGATAATTTGTTCGCCTCTGAATAATATTTCCCCCACTGAGTTCTTAACCTAGATATTGCTCAAGTGGTTTTTACGGCTTTTTTCGAATTAAATGTAGACTATAGTTATATGGTCTTATCTCCATTTAATCATGGACAATTCATAACCTTCAATTTTTCCCATTAGTTGAATCGTTCCTGTAAGGTATATATTGATCCTATATCGTTAACTTGTTTTACGTTGCGATATACCTGTGCATCTATTTGCTGACTACTGTGAATACGAAGATAATCGTTGCCATGATAAGTAGAACTGTTTCTGGTGGTTGTTATTGTTAAGTCGGCTTCCAGCAAACTCCAACAGAGCATCCAGAGGCTCAAAAAGAGTCCCAACCAATCAGAGTACGACAGAACATTCTGGAGTTCCAACGTGGCATGCTACCATTGGTCAGTAGCAATTTATGTCGTTAATGGGATTGGCTGAATTAGGATGTTGATTTAACTTAAGCAAACATCTATAAATACCTACGATTTTCTGTACAAAGATGATCCTTGCAGTAAAGGTTTTCTCTGATACCCGTGTCTTCTCTCTGGTCTTCAAGTTGCTGAGTAGTGCTAGTCCTGGGGTTATCGGAATAGCTTAGGATCCGAATAAAGCGTTCAACCTACAAGACATATCAGTTATTCAATGGATTGTGTAATGCTTCGATAGTGTCTTATAAATATCCTTTAGACATTTTGTTTCGCGTATTTATAATATTTCATTTCGTGTATCCCAGTACTTTAATACATCTGGCTTTAATTTTGAAGGTAGATGTTCTTGATACTGATTTTTTAACAATATAAAAGTAATCATGCATGCATGAAGTGTACCACTGACGAAATGTGTTGTTTAGTTGATGATATCTTACGATTTGGATTCACTAATTGCGAACTATATAGTGGGGTACATTGTCTAAAAAAACAAGAAAATAACAGCTATTCTTCTGTAGCATATTATATTAGTAAATTATGTGCAAAGCAATTGAGTACAACTACTTTTCAATTTATGACATGCGGAAAGAAATAAAGCCTACGTACTTTGTTCCACCAGTTTATCGAAACCATTGATCCAACGAAATAACGTCCACAAAATCGGGTTGCTGCACTTCCTAGGCCCCAATGATAAAAACGGCTGAAAGTGAGATTACCGACCCCAGCTCCTGAGAAACAAAACTACTATAAAAACACAAGAAGAACTCATCTAGACTCTAGCAGGCGACATTTTCCCCTACAGATGCATACCTAAAGCTAACTCGGTCTCACCGAACCACACCATGAAAAACCAGATCGACCACACTTTCCTCAATAAAATACCCACGAGATCCATGGAAGAAGTAAGAACAAAGAGTGGAATTGATGTAGTTTTAGATCACCACCTGGTTGTACCAAATCGAAAGAAGCATTGTGCAGTTACATAAGGAATACTACAAATGTCTAGTATAGCCTTCATTTGAGATGTAAACAAGTTCAGCGGGATATCAGCATAGTAGCTATCATCGACAAGCTTTAATCCTTTCAAGACCTACCAGAAGAAACGTCGGGAACCGCCATAAGCAACAACTGGAAAGTGATTCGAGAAGCAATAACTTCAACATCTCAGAAGATGTTGACCCACAAGAAGCATCAGTATAAAGAATGTACTCGGCCTGTGCCGAGTACACAGAAGCAAACACACAAGTCAAAGTGCATTAGAGCTGATTAGCGGAAGCATGTTGGAGGTCTGACAACCACAGCAGAGAGAGCTACAAGAGAAGGAAATGTGGAGGAACTATGTGATACTACAACCAAGAAGCTTACAAGAAAACGTAGTGGACCAGAGTGACCGGTCAAGAACGGAGAAGGAAAACCAATTAATGAGGGTTAACGGCAGTGGGACAGGTGGGTAGAGTACTTTGAAGATCTTTCAAATTGATCGACATTACTGAGCACAGCTAACATCGAGGCAGCACACAAAGACCTCCCTGTAGATAGTACCCCACCAACTATCAAAGGAATTAGCGGAGCCATCAGACAATTTAGGAATGCCATAGCAATAGTTGGACTAGACAGCATACCAGCTAAGGTACTTCAGTCAGATATGGTACCAGATACCATGTTTTGGTTTGGTCGCCCCCAACACTTACTTCCATCCCCAATACTAGTCAGCATAGCGCGTCGTGGTAATCGGTGTTAAGGCTTACGTAACATGTGGCTCAACCATCTCAGTCGATGAAGATTCATGACTTCAACTGATTTATCATTCCATAATACCGTGTCTAACCTCACTATTACTTACCCAGTGATACCAGCAGATGCGGGCAATATTTCTAAGGCATCTGTGGTCAAATACTAGTAACTTACGAGTATCTTCTACTCTTAATGGCCATGTTTCACAGCCGTAAAGTGGAACAGAACGAACTGCTGCGCCGTATACTCGTCCCTTAATTGATAGACGGATATCTCGCCTTCGCCATAGGTGACGTAATTTGGCAAAAGCTAAACGAGCTTTTTGAATCCGTGCACAGATTTCGTCAGACACCAACCCATTAGGGCTGATCACACTTCCAAGATAAGTGAAGTTGTCGACGCGTTCGACTACTTCACTCCCTATCCTTAGTTCAGGTGTTGACGCAGGCCAGTCCTGGAGTAACAATATACAGTCAGAGGGGGAGAAACGCATCCCAAACGTCCTGGCATTATTACTCAGTTCTAACAAGACTGCATTTTGTCAGCGTCTTCACCAAACAGGACTATATCATCTGCGTATTCTGAGTCGATAAGTGAACCTCCTGGTAGGAGATCAATTCCTGAAAATTCAGTCGACGAGAGTGTTATTTCTAGCAATAGGTCTATAATGAAGTTAAACAAGAATGAGGATAGTGGACAGCCTTGTCAGACACCACTTGTTGTAAAATCTTATAACAGTTCGCCATAAGCTCTCACTCGACTGGTAGTGTTCGAGTAGAGCCTCCACAAGGTTTATGTACTTCTGAGGTACACCTTTCAATGACAGACACTGCCACAGAACATCTCGGTCTGCAGAGTCGAATGCTGCCTTTAAGTTAAGAAAAACTATCATTGTCGGGCTTACGAAAATGGTAGTGAATAGATTATCAAAATCGAAAAAAATGCAATCGCACACACCAGATCATTTCCTTTAAAACAGTAACTTCAAGGGTCAAAGTTGGTGTTTTGTTACTAAAATGACACAAAAGCCCGAAATGGCTAAACTTAAACTACTCCCATCTAAACAGGATAGTTATATAAGCCTGACTGAACTGACCGATGCAGAGGAGCCCTGGCCATGACGTAAGTGAAAAAAAGGTGTGATAAGAGATGTTTAGTCTGCTCAAAGTCGAATGTAAGAGAAGGTAGATCTCTTATCCGTCACGTCCATAGAGCAGTTTGAAAAAATGGACAATGTGTTACGTGGCTCTACACCAACTAGGAGTGGCTAGATTTTTAAACTGTACAGCAATAGTTGCACTGCATTGTTGTACTAATAACCATGACTAATTATACCGGTAACTCACCACAAACACAAGGACTCGACACTTCAGTGGCATACTACGAACAATTCTAAAGTAGATTTGTCCTTAACGAATCCTTTGAACTATAATTGCCTAATAAGAATACCATGTAATTCCCGACTCCAAAAGAACTACGTACGACTGAGTTGGTACACACACTCATGCAGTGATGCCATGATCACGTACGTATATCAGGATCTCAGGTCCTGAATGAGGCAAAGGTTGGGGACAAACTGATTCTTAGACCCGAGTTAACCAGATGTGATTGCAAAAATGCTTGTCTGAAGCTTCACAATTATGGGTTAATAAAATTTGTCTCTAAAAATAATGAGGCATCTTGGTAACTGTTGAGGTAAAGGTATCCAGGAATTGTTCATATCAAGTCTTTGGGATAGCTTCCCAAATACTCTATGTTGGCTGTGCAAAAAGTCGTCGTGTCATTCCCATAAGTGAACACACAAGGTAGGTTTCTACTAATTATAAATTGTTATGACTCGAACTTACGAATCACAACATTTATCTAAGTGTAGTGGACGTTGAAGTAAGACTATTGTTAGGATTTTTTTAAGAACTACCCGCACCTGGCAAAGTTAACTGTCATTTCGATTTTACTTTCGAGACTTATTCGGATGGCTGAGAACCAACATGTATGCTCCTAGTGCTAGTCAGCAGTGAGTTGCATTTGACTGAAACGGAAAGTGTTTATCTAAGCCTGTCCATAGACTGTACTATCGCTATCCAAAAATCGATAAATGTATGAAATAAAGTGCTTGACACAGCAAGTCACCGAGTACTACAAGAAAAAACACTTGTAATGTCTTGCGCAGCATTTCGTGACTTTATTTTCCTTGCATTACTGACAATATGAATTGCTCGGAAAAAAACAAAAACCGGTATAGCAGTTGATGTCTAATCTGAGGGTACTAGGAGTACCAGGCCTAGTTGAGCAACGTGAGGGAAGCTGGGGAAAAAACTAGGGCAAAGACCAGGCGATAACTCAGCAAGAGCACATAATGTACTTACTTTTATTAAGAAGAGCAATCGATAGCAATTATCGACAACACAAGCGTGAAAGCAAAACAGTCAAACAGATGAAACCTGAATATGACTTAGAACCGAATACAATTTGTAAGTCAATATATGGAACGTCTGATTTCTGTCTAATAAAACAAATAAACAAGCGACCATACTCTGGCAGTTAAAGCAACAATTTTCAATAGTCAACAAAAGTGAAATATCAAACATTTTCGAGTACTCTTCTATTCGTTCAGTGAGCCAACACTGAATGTAAAAATTTGATTTACATTAGAGACTCTTGTAATCTTCTAAAGTTATCTGCATATAAATTCTCTACGAATAGGAACTGCAGCTCATCCCAAGTTTGCAGATTAAATAAGCGAATAAAGCTAGATTTATATGTTGAAATGAAATCCACTTTGAGAAGTATGTTTTTACAATCAAAACTCGCATATCAAATGAGAGGAAAAACCATAGATGTTGCACACTATTGCCCAATGAAAATCAGATGGGCTATAAATTCATGGACGTATATTCTGTTCCCTTTGAGCACACATTTCAATGGATACTGCAATGATAATGGGAAATTGATGCGAATTGAGGAAGTTGAATGCACAAATTGAAGGTGGGGGGATGGAAAGGATAAACACATCTATAAAAGGGTGATTGAAGGGTTATGCTTTACAATATCTGGATTGAGTATGTGGTGATATACTCATGAGGCATAGAGTTTGGATACATAAGTTAGATCTCCTGGAGTTGATTCCGATAATTTCTGTTATTCAGATTGAGACTTGATACACAACCGATAAGACTGTCTTTTATTTTCCAAGTAAACTTAGCACAAAGAATAAACAAAATAGATTTTTTCCACATCTATCGAGAGGCTGCCGACACCTCAGAGATATTATTTTGGTGGGTGGGTGATGTTGAACTGTGGTTTGAGTTGTTTATCTTGGAAAATTCTCGACAATTACTACGAAGTAAAGCCCGAACTAATAGTGATGAAACATTTCGGAGTTGAAGCGTGAGTATAGATTACATCCTGTTTCGTATTTTAGGGAGGAATCCAGTACTTGCACACTACATGACTAGTCATGCAAAGTTTTTTCGTAAGAATATTCAGGAAAATTCTTTGTTACCTATAGTTGCAAAGTGCTTACTCGGCAAAGGTTGAACGGGTCGCCAGAAAACTAATTACTTAAAATCGTGTCATTACACTGAACGTGTTAGAGTCATTAAAAGATTATGGTTTGGTGATGAATGACTTAATCGATGCGAATGACATGTGAAATCGATATCAATTAATTATATCAGCTGGTTATAGAAATTTGATTGTATGGTACTGTGAATGCCTTTTGTCATAATAAGTTATTAATTAATTGATGTTAAGTATTACTTATTTCATTGTATCCAAGTCTGAATGTTAATCTGACTATAAATAAATCATATAAAACGTTGTATATTCATGTACCATTTTGATTTATTTTGAGAGTTTAGTAAATCCGTATCATCTTGCTCTTACTTGCATCGTCCGTTTCACAGTTGCCTTGTTTCCAGTACCAAGTACGTTAAGTATTGCGTGGACATGAATAATTTACACACATCTGTTGGTTACAAATGATTTCCTTTTTTCTTAAATCTAAACAAGCTGTCTTCATCAGAGATAATGAAGAAAACGAATTATAAAAGCTAACATTGAATCAATAACAACATTACCCTAGACAAAGTAGTGATGAAATCAACTTTCAGATGATCATAATGACAATAAGGCCAATTATATAAAATCAAGAATTTTACGCATACAATAAAACAAATTAATTAGTAATATTAAAATGGTGCAGAATGTGCATGGATTCAATTTTAATAGGTGCGAAATTGCATTTTGGTAGATCATTCTCTGCTTTACTCTTCGATTAGTCAAAAGCGTCTAATGAAGAGACTACTTTATGATGAATGAAAGCTAAACTTCAGAGGAGTACATTTTACAATTCATATTGTCGCATCCATGTTATTCCACATTGTCTGCACGAATCAGCGAAGCCGATGTTATATTTCCAGAGATGATCGGTGCGGTGATGAAATATAAATGAAATCGATGATAAGAAATAGGTCAGTAATTTTGGGCACATGTAGTTTAGGTGCAACATTATCATTCCCTACCATGTTCCGTGAAAATATACAATCCCTTTCGAAAATCATATAATAGTGGAGATGCTGTACTTTTTACCTCAGAGAAATCACCTGCAAAATGACTCAGCTACAATCCTTTATTACGTATGTAATGACAAATGAAAACGAGCATCAAGTTTTAGTATTAACAGTTACACTTATAATTATATCATATTTTAAAATTAAACCGATACAAAAATAGCATCTATTTTCAGTTAGTCACTGAACAAACAATCTCATTAATGTAAGAATTAGTATACTTGTAACAGTAGTAAATCACAAAATGTATTAACAGCCTCGTTATTCGAAATGCACTTAGTTTTGAAATTAAATAATCCAGCAAATGTTATACAATTTGTTCAAATGTTCCAATAACCTCGATCAGCATACATCAATAGTAGTATAAATCAACTCAAAATACCTTTACTTTGATCATCACTGTCCTGGGCTCTACTTTTCAGCTGTTTCTGA